GACTTATTTTTGAGCTTGGTTTGTGAAAAGCTCGATTTGGTTCGGTAAAAACTAAGCTTCCAGCCAAGCTCAAGCCTGATAAAGCTCAGCTCGTGAGGTTCATAAGTTTAATCGAGCTTTTATATATAATATTTTTATTTTTATATATAACAAAGACCAGTTTTTATAATTCTTAATTTTTTATATATCAAATAAAAAATAATTTTTTATTTTTATAAAACATTTGTCTCACAGTTGAATTTGAGCCGAGCCAAGATCGAGCTTTTGACTCGAATTTGAGCTCAAGCCTCACAGATTATTGACAAACTGAGCTCAAATAGCTAGATATCCAGCTTGGCTCAACTTGAATTCACCCCTACCAAAGCCCTTCTGATGGACACATTTGAAGATTGGGGAACTGCTTGGGACCACCAAAAACCAAAGCCTTTCATTAAGTCTTTTTAATTATGACGATAATTTTGTAGTGAACCTTATAGGGTTCTCACGTGGTCTGTGGTTACTAACTTACTATGGAAGAATGAAAGTCTCTTTGAATGTTTTAGTAGCTAATGATGGCTAATATGCAAATCTACTCCTTTAGAATTGTATTGAAGATTTAGTGACCAACACCCAAAACCTGTTGTGCTTGATAGGAGACTTTAATAAAGTAAGAAGTGATAAAAATAGTGACAATTTTAACAAATCTCAAGCCAATAGATTATGTGATTTTATATACAACTTAATCAAATTGAGATGGATGAAAGAGGAAGTAAGTACACTTGGAGAAGAGGAGAGCTCCTTGAAAAACTAGACTGGGTTTTAATAAATGATGAGTGGAGAACGATCGATGAATCCAGAAGCTTCTTATGGGTTTGATTAGTCAAAACTCTTATGGTACCATGTCTATCTGGCATCATAGATTTTTCTAACCCTTATTGTATTTTTTTTTTGTAGAATAATAGATGTATTCAAATTATATGTGGCATTTATTAAATTATTATAATAATATAAGTATTTGCTAGAAGTTATATAATTTTTATGTGATGTATGGATTAAATAGGTGTTGCTTTAAGTTGGTATTCCTAATTCTCATTATTTTACTATTTTATTTGGAATATAGCCACTGTTTTTCTATAAATTGAAACAATTAGTTATGGTTTTTCAAGAAATTGTTGGCATATATTTCATCTTTTAGCCACAGTTTGTCAAGAAACCGTAGCTATAGGTTAGAGTATTTAACTTCGATTTTAGCAAAAAAACGTGGTTATAGGTTAGTAATTTAGCTACGGTTTTGTAGCAAACCGTAGCTATAAATAGAAGAATTATTGTTCTGGTTTTATAAAAATCTGTGGTTATAGATTTGGATATATAACCACGGATAATTTAAAAACTGTAGCTATAGACAGATACCGTAGCTATAGATGGGTTATAGCCACGGATTAGTTGAACCATATCTGTAGGCTATAGCCACGCGGACATAGGCTACGGTTTTTTTACCTTTAGCCACGGTTTTGTCCGTAGCTAAAGGTCATATTTCTTGTAGTGATTCAAGTATATGTTTGGCATTGATGCTGCAGTTGCAGCACCACTTTCTCAGAAAACGGTGTTGCTGATATGTGGCTTGGAGAACTGTTTTTGGTGTCTTTATTTTTGTTTGGAATCGTTGCTGCCAGGTAAGACGTTTCCTGGAGCAACAACAACCTTTTCTGTTTGGTACCATTCCTCAAGGAAACGTTTTCAGCACTAGTACCCATTATCTAGTGCCACATCACTGTCCTATTGGCAGCAACGAGCTGCAGCTCCAGGAAACACCAAATTTGGCGTTGCTCCAAGCTATGGTTTCTCGATTTTCGAGATTTGGCTTGGAGCACCGTTTTTTATGGAAAAATGGTTCTAAACAAATGCCCGTTTCCTGGAGCACCATTTTTTCTGATGTGGTGTCGTTGCTCCAGGAAACGACAATGAGTTTTTAGAAGTTCTAGAGGATTACAAATTCATGCCAAGTCAACCAAGACAAGAGAAGTAGCAAAAAATAAAAAAACAATTAAAAATTGGAATAGAAACAATTTTGGTAATTTTTCAAAGAAAAAATCTGTTGGACATGATGAAGGAAGTCCAACTGGACCAGCAAATTAAGTAGAAAAGAGAATTAATCTTGGAGAAGAAGGAAAAATTAATCCCTTAACAAAGATTAATTAAATAGTGTTTTAGAAAATTAAGAAGTCTAGTAGGCACAACAATCTACAATAACACGACTTCAAAATGGAGATAAGAATACCAAACTGGTAAAGTTTGAGAACTTAAAGGCATATAAGCATGTATGATGTCATTTACAAATTAATAGTAAACATTCTTGTGAATGGGATACAACCAATGTTAGGAAAAATAATTTCTCCGTTTTAATTGCCTTTTGCTCCAATAAGACTCGATGTAACCGTTTTTGGTCACATATCATTTTTTGTGATGTATAATTTTTTTGGCTAAGTACCTCGTTGTTTGACTCGGTGGTGACGTGCCTTGGTGATGAGCTATTTGGTGGCGAACTCCCTGGGGGAGAACTGCTTGGTGGCGAACTGCCCGGTGGCGAGCTCCCTAGTGGAGAGCTACTTGGTGACGAACTGCCGGGTGGCGAACTGCCTGGTGGTGAACTGCCTGGTGGCAAACTGCCTGGTGGTGAACTGCCTGGTGGCAAACTGCCTGGTGGCGAACTCCCTAGTGGCGAACTGCCTGGTGGCGAACTGCCTGGTGGCGAACTGCCTGGTGGCGAACTGCCTGGTGGCGAACTGCCTGGTGGCGAACTGCCTGG